ACAACGCTGAGGCCTGGCAGATTGAGATTGGTGATAGGATAAGGGGGAAAGATACTTGAGTGTACAGTGACTTAGTCACCAAGGAGTCAAGATAGGAAAGGAATGAAAAGGTAACCAGCACAGGGGGGATGGCTTGGGAAGGAACTGAGGGGTAGAGAGATTGAAGGTCACGATGGAGACAAAGAATATGATTGAGCAGAGGGAGCGAAAGAATGATAAGATGCTATGATCAGATAATGGAATTTCATAGTTCATTAAGTAGAACACTTGTGGGTGATGGCAAGATCAAGAGTATGACCATCTTTGTGTGTGGCTGAGATGGGGTGAAGCTCATGGGAAATAAGTAAATTGAAGAACTAGGAAACTAAGGTGTTAGATGGAGTATGAATGTATATATTGAAGTCCCCTAATATGAGGGCAGGAATTGAGGTGGAGGGAAAGACTGTGATCCAAACATTGAATGCATTGAGGAAGGAAGGAGAGTGTCCTGTAGTTGATTAATAATACCTACCAGAAGCTTGATTGGGTGATAAGTATGGATTGAATGAACCTCAAAGGAGGAAAGCTTATTGAATGACTGTGGTAGGACAGTCTGGAAATGGCAATGGGGATCAAGGAGTATTATGACTCTTGTTCCATGACAATACCTTCACATGGCATGAGTGAAAGTTCAACTGGTACTGTAAAGGGTGGCCAGAGAGGCTGTGTCCTAAGGAGGGAGCCAGGTCTCAGTGAGAATAAGAAGATGGAAGGAGTGAGAAAGGAAAAGGCTTAAGATGAAAGCAAGTTTGTTACCTATGGAACAGGCATTCTAGAGAGCACAGTGGAAGGATCTGGAATGCAACATTTCAGGGGGTGTGGGGAGGGCATTGAGGGGTATGGGAAGAAGGGAACTCAATGGGGGTTTGGGAGGAGGGTTTGTACAGAGTTCAGAATGATGGGGGGGAAGGAAGTATGATAAAGTGGTTGTATGCTACCCTTTGAGGAATGAGTTCCACTGGCTACAAAGATGGTATTAGAGAATGGAGTTTTGTTTTCAGGGCTATGGTTTCTAATGTTGGCTCAGTGGGCTCCTGCCAGAGGATGAATTGCGTAAGAACTGGGAAGAAAGTTTAACAGGATACTCCTGAACCTGATCAAGAGATTTCTAAATGGGGGAAGAAGGGGAGATGTGAGATAATTGTGATATAGCCCAAATAACACTGGAATCAAGAAACACTGGGTTCAAATCCTGGTTGCTATCTGGTAGCTGTGTAAATCTGGGCAAATCCCTTTCTTTCTTTGGTCCTCAGTTTCTTCATGTGTAAAATGAAGATAGTAGTAGGTATGTGAGCTATCTTACAGGAGCATTTCAGGGGAAGTACTCTAAATCTTAAAGCACTATAGAAATGTGAGTTGTTATTGCTCCAGTGAGCAGAGTATGGTAACAAACTGAACTTGATATCTTAATATGAGAAAGCATACCAGACTAGGAGTCAGGAAGACCTGAGTCTAAATCCAGTAGTAGTCCAGAAACTTGTTGACTTGGATGTGACACCAGGAAAATCACTTTCTCTTAGACTCAGTTTCTTCATCTGTAAAATGGAGATAATAAGAGTGCCTACCTTGCAGGATTGTTGTGAGGATCAAACGAGATAATATATGTATAGTACTCTGAAAACCTTAAAGTGCTATATATATTATACTATTGCTATTATTCAGTATTCTAGAGCCCCTTCAATTTCTGACATTCTATGATTTTAAAATTCTGTGAATCACAGGTTTGGTGGAATGGAATATAAGATTAAAATCCAGAAATAAAAAGTCTGTCTTGCCAGAAGAAGCAAAGTGTGGGGGGGGTGTGTGGAGGAGAAGTAGGCATATAGAGCTACTAGACTATAGCTCTACCAGGGAAGATATGATGTCATATTTCAATTTGTATCCTCTATAGTGCTAGGTACCAAACCCTGTTCATGCCACTCCCCTACCCAAAGACTTTCTGTGGCTTCCCACTATTGTTCAGTTATTTCAGTCATTTCTGACTCTTTGTGACCCAATTTGGGGTTTTCTTGGCAAAGATATTGGAGCAGTTTGCCATTTCCTTCTCCAGTTCATTTTCCAGATGAGGAAACTGAGGCAAACAGGGTTAAGTGACTTGCCTAGGGTCACACATCTAGGAAGTGTTTGAGGCCAGATTTGAACTCAGGAAGATGAGTCTCCCTGACTTCAGGGCCCCCGGCTCTATCTACTGTGCTGCCTAGCTGCTTGCTCCCCATTGCCTATCAAATAAAGTATAAACTGGCATTCAGTGCCCTCCAATCTGTCTCAGACCCTATCTAGTCGACCTTACCTAATACTACTCCCCTTCATACTACATTCCAGTCAAACTAGACTACTCTTCCTCTCTCCTATCTCTCTGTCTTGATTCAAACCATACCTCATTAGATTGTAAGCTCCTCAAGAGCAGGGACTGTCTTTTGCCTTTTTTTTTTTTTTTTTTTCATCCCCAGCACTTCACACAGTGCCTGGCATTAGTAGGTATTTGATAAATGCTTACTGACTGACTACATCACTGTATTATATCACTCCTTCCGAATTGCTTCCCAGCCTCAAGTCTCTTTTTCTCTCTCTCTCCACTCTCCAACCTCTTCCCTGCCCCAGAATGTCCAATGTCTCCCCATTTCCTCCAGGATCAAATACAAAATCCTTTGGCATTTAAATTCCTTCACAATTTGGCTCCAATACAGCTTTCTGGACTTTCTATAAGAGCACATTACTTCCCTTCACACGTTCTAGTTTCCAAACAAACTGGCCCTATTCCAAACAGGCCACTCCATCTCCAGTCTCTATGTCTCTATACCTTTTGCACAGGCTCTCCCCCATACCTGGAATGCACTCCTTTCTTATCTCCACCTCCTAGAAACTCTAACATCCTTCTCAACTCATTTCACCTCTTACATTAGCTTTTTTCTGATTCCCCCAGCTGTTGGTGCCTCCACCTACCAAATTACTTTGTGTTTGCCTTTTTGTGTTCTATTTTATACAGACCCAGGAAGCCGTGGGATCAAGGACCATTTCTTACTCATATTAGTTGTGTGACTCTAGGTGGGTCACATGACCTCTTAGCTCGCTAGGCAACTCCCAGACTATAAACTACATCCATTTATTGGTAGTGTCCACATCAGGGAAATCTCTGGAAAATCAAGGTCCAGTCCCTATCCCTATACATTTTGTATTTTAAATTTCTATGTGTCATTTCCTTTCATATAATGTAAGCTCCTTGAGGCCAGGACAGTTTCATTTTTGTCATTTTACCCCTATTGTCTACTGTAGTACCTAGAACATAGGAGGGGTTTAATAAATGCATGCTGGTTGGTTGATTTGTTGAAATCTCTCCTGAATTCCTGGAGGGCAGGGACTGTTTTCTACCTCTTTGTATCTCCAGTTGTTAGCACCAGTGCCTGGCACATGGTAGGTGCTTAACAAATGTTTATTAACTGACAACTCCAGGCCCAATCAACTCAAATGCCACCAGCTCTTTGAAGTCAACTCTGATGTCCCCAAGTGAGAGAAAGTGATAGCTCCATTTTCAGATTTCTCATAGAATTCTGCCTTCATCATTCCCTTGCACTTATCTTATGGAGTCATTCATTTAAAGCTGGAAGACACCTTACAGTTCTTTTGAGCTCATCCCCGTCATTTTACACATGAGGAAAGTAAGGAACAGAGAGATTAAATAACTTACTTTAGGGTCACCCACCATACTAAGACACTAACATACACTAGGCAGGATTTGAATTCAGGTCTTCTTGACTCCAGATCCAATGTTTCATTCACTATACCTGTTTATTTTACTCCCTTTGCATGGCAGTTATTTGTGTGGCAATAAGCAATTCGAGAGGAGAGTTTTGTCATATTCCCAAGCACTTAGCACAAGGATGTGTTTAATAAATGTTGCTTGAATTGCTAAAATAATTCCATTTTATAGCTAAGGAAACTGAGACATCATAGCTTTAGAGCTGGATCTTAAGGGTCATTTAATAAAACCTCGTTATTTCAGATAAAGGAACTGAGGGGAGAAAGATTAAGTAATTTGCCCAAGTGTGCACACTTCAGGAACACAGCCAAGATTCAACCTAGGCCCTCTGACTCTAAATGGGGTGGGTGAAGAAGGAAGAGAAGGGAAGGCAGATACCTGACACTAGGCACTGTCCCAGCCCCGTCTCCTCCTCCACCTCCCCCCACCTCAGGATCTGGTGTCCGCAGCTGAGTAGCTTCTGTGGCTTTTGTTTATTTATAGCTCAGCCTTGCACCCCACCCCCTCAGCCTTGTCCCTCTCTTTACCCTCAAGGGAGGAGGGGGCTATTTGGAACCAGGGCCACTCTTGGGGGGGGGGCCCTCTTGCAGAGCAACCTCCATCTCCAGTCCACTCCCATTCCCAGAGGATTGCCCTGAGAAAAGGGGTGGGGGGCATTCCTCACCCAATGCTCTTTTCAGCTCTAAAATTCTATGAGGGGGTGTCCAGAAGGAAGGGTGTATGGGAATGGAGTAGGGGTGTTAGCAGAATTAGGGAGAAAATAAGAGGAATCCTGGTGAAGAGAGAAGTGTGTGTGGGGATCTGTGTAGGTGGTGTTCCCTGGGATGGGAGCAGTTGATGTTTGAGGAAGGGGAGAGAAGAGATTCTCAGGGGTCTCTGAAAGCCAGGAAAAGGTATTCTTGAGGAAGGATAGAGTCCCAAGTTCCACGGCACGGTTGAGGGCCTCCAGGGAAGGGAGATGGGGGTCCTAAGGGTAGGGGATCCCGAGGGTCCGAGGGAGGGTGGGGATGGAGATTCTGAAGGTCTCTGGGGGAGGGGGATGAGACTCTGGGGAGGTTATGGGGTCCCAGGTGTTGGGGTGGGGTTGGAAAGGGGTACGCGAATGGTTGGAGCTGAGGCGCTGGTCTCCAGCAGTTAGAGGCCATGGAGACGGGAGCTGCCCCCCGTCCGCGGTCTCTGGGAGAGCCCTCTCGCGTGCACGCACCTGGCAGCGGCAGATGACGTCGGCGTCGGTGGCCAGCAGGTCCACCACCTTGCCTTTGCCCTCGTCCCCCCACTGTGCACCCAGCACCACGGTCACCCTGGAGCCCACGGCCCCCGTCTCCTGCTGCAGCCTCCCGCGCTTCACGCCCCCAGGGCCTGATTGCCGCTCGTTGGGAGCCCGGGGCCCGGACATCTTCCTGCTGGCTCCGCTGGGCTCCTCCTCCAAACTCCCTCTGCTCGGCGGCCGCCGCCTGGGTGTTGACCCCGCGCGAGGTCCCGGCGTCCCGACCATTAAATGGAGCCGGGGACTCCGGGAGGGGGCGGTGACGTCATGTCTGTAACCTCCCGGGCGGGGCGGGGATGGGGGGAGCCCCTTGGCAGGGCCAGGGCGCCCTGACTGGCAGGGCAGCGGGGGGCATTGAGAGTGGACAGCGGGCAGCGCGGATCTGTGTTAAACTCCTCTCCCGGGCAGCCATATGCATTGGAAAGGGAAACTCGGCTCGAGTCCTGACTTTCCTGCCGTGACCTTGGGCAAGTATCTTAACCCCTACAGTCCTCATTTCGTCTTCAGTATGCAGAAGGGGTTGAACTAGATTATGTACGAGTGCGCTCCGAGCTTCTGGGGTTCCGGGAATCCCAGGCAGGGGGCTGATAAAGTAATTAAGCTTGGTTACTTACTACATGTATGACCTTGGGCAAGTCTCTTCTTTGGACCTGTTTTCCCCTCTGTAAAATGAGGGGGTTGATCTCTAAGGCCACTTCCAGCTCTAACATTCTATAATTCTATGAATCTGGGGGGGGGGGCTATTCCAAGGAAGGGGGCACTTCCAGTGCAGACATTGGGATTGGGATGACAGAACAGAAGTGCTCTTCTAAGGCCCAGCTTGGAAGCCTGTGTGTCTGTAAAGGGTGACATTTAATCTCCCTTTGCCCTAGCTTCCTTTGCCTAATTTTGGCTTTCCCTCTGGTCTCCTCCAACTTTTATTTGCACCTGAGGGTGCCCCACCCCCCTTCCTCCCCCAACCACTCTCAGCGTGGACCGACTATTCTGTAGGCAGTGCTCTGTGCTGGGCCCTGGGGATGCAAAGATCCAGTTCAGCAAACATCTGTGTGCACAGTAGAAGGCACTGTGAGACCCTGAGGATACAATGATAAAGCCAAAATAGCCCTTAGACCTACCCTCAAGGAGTTGACAATCTACTGTAGGCTGGGTGGGGGCAGAAATACAAAATACATACAACTAATCAAGTACAAATATATACAAAGTTTCCAAGTCATTTCAAGAGGGAATACTAATTACTGGGGTCTGGGGATCAAAGACGGAAAGCTCTTGTCCTCTAGAAGCTTGTAGTTTAAGAAGGATATGTAACACAAGGTAGAAAGTGATTGGGCAAGAGATCAATTTCAGCTGGGAGAATCAGGGAACTGTCATGGTGGAGATGTCAGGTGCTCAGGAGCACCTGAGTGGAGGACCTTAAAACAAGGAAAGAGCTTCAGTGGAACAAAGGCAAGTGAGATGGGAGAGGATTTACAGCTCAGAGGTACTCTTGCTTGTATAGTGTCTAGTTTGACTGGAGTGTGGTGTCCACGAAGGCAGAGTAATTTAAGATGTCCAGACAAGTAAGTTGGAGTTGCATGTCAATGGTAGAGTTTATATTTTATTTTGTAAGCCATTGGAAGCCACAGACGATTTTTGAGATGAGTGATGTGAGAGCAGAACATTAAGAAGATAATTCAAGTAACATGTAGATTATTATTTGGAGAGAGTGAGATTGGAGACTAGGGACACCAATTAGAAAGCTGTTACCATATTCCCAGTGAAGACTTTGAAGTAGGGTCTGTACTGGGGTGGCTGCAGTGAGAGGAAGGGAGGGGAGAAATGTACAAAAAAAATTATGTGGAGGAAGAATCCAGAGGATTTGCTGACTGATTGTATGTGTGTGTGTATGAGAGAGAGAGAGAGAGAGAGAGACAGAGACAGAGACAGAGACAGAAAGAGACGGGGGGGGGGGAGAGGGAGAAGGAGGAACCAAAGATAACTCTGACTTGGATGCTGGAGAGGATTGTGGTACCTTCAAAAGAGTTGGGAGAAAAGGCAGATTTGAGGAAGGAAGCAGATGAGTTTAGGTTTTGACTTGTTGAATTTGATACCAATGGGAGGCACATGTGGTCATAAGGGACTAGGCTTGGATATACAGATTTGGGAATTGTTGAGATCACTAAGGGAAAGAATATATAGAGAAAAGGCTAAGCACAGAACCTAGGAAAACACCTACAGCAAAAGAGAAAGGTGAGCCAGCTCAAACTGGCTCAGGAGAGCTGGTTATTAAATTTTTGGAGTGAATATTTATACCTCAGAAATGGGCAAATGCTATAAATTAGGTCTTGATTTGTTGTTTTATTGATTGTCTAGACTTAAGAAAATGATGGAGAAAATTCAGATTGAACTTAAAAATGTGTCACACATATATATTTTTTCAGAACAAGTTGTTAAACATTTACCAGCACACACCTAACCTTGAATGTGCAGCATCATGTAAGCCAAGGAATAATGATGATGGTAATAGCTCATATTTCTATATAGCATTTTAATATTTACAAAACACTTTACCTCTCAACAGTCCTATGAAAGAGGTAATGGAAGGATTATCCCCATTTTATAAATAAGGAAACTGAAAGAGGGAGGGCTTTACCCAGGATCCTGTAAGAGTTAGAACCTACTCTTTAAATCAGGCTTTCTGACACTTAGTCCAGTGCTCTTTCCATGCAACCAAGTGGTTCAGCCTTCCTCCAATTCACAGGATGATAGGCTCCCAGTTTTAGAGCTGGATGAAACCTTACAAGTCATTTACTCCAACCCTTCTTTTACAGGTTAGGAAACTGAGGTCCACAGACCGATAAGATGTTAAGTGACTCACTCAGGGTAGTAAATAGCAGTGCCAGTGTTTGAACCTAGGTCCAATGATTTTCAAATCTAGCTGTCTTTCACATACCATCTGGGCCTCCTAGATTTTAAGAGCTAATTGCAACCTTTAATTCAATTCAACAATGGGATGAGTTAGGTACTTTGCTAGGGACTGGTAATAAAAAAAAGATAGAGGTGATCTGGGGAGTTCCCTGATCAACCTGATGAGCTTATAAAGTGATGGACCTTTATTTGGGACTTGGATTTTCTCCCATGGATTGGGAATGAATTGGTTGAACTGTGTGAGTCAGAGCCATCACTAAGTGCAAGCCCTATAAAAAGGGTCCTTCACTGGAGAGTTGGCAATCCCCCTCCTTTTTGGAGAGATTAGGAGAAAACCAAGAGCAGATTTTGGTCTTAGAGACCTTCCCTCCTCAGCCATTAAGATGATGCTCTCTCAACATGAGATGGAAGCAGCTGGGTTAATGTTAAGTTCCTAGAGAGTTTGGGGACTCAACCTTCAGGAATAAGAAGAGAGGATTCCCCAGCAGCACCAACATCTTGTGGAGAAGACAGTGTACATAGCCCTGCAGTTGGTAGAGCAACAGGGGATCGAGCCATGATACAAGGGAGCAAAAGATCTGAACTCTACCCTCTATAACTCCTGTAAATTACCCAGACAGTGTAGATCCTAGGGGAAGGACCTTTAATAGCAACCCTGGCTTTGTTTTCCTTCTTGGGGGAGTCCTTAGGACTCGAAGTCTGTACACATGCAAGGTGAGATTGGGACTTACCAGTTGTGAGGTTGCCTCTCTAGTAACATTAAGTTCCTCTTTCAAGGAGAATCCAAACCAGGGGGTGGTGTTGAGTCTAAGGGATGATACAGGGCTTAGGGGCAGGGTTGGGGTTGGGGGGAAGGTTGGTCTTAACAGACAAAGAGGAGAATTATGTTAATTGTTTGTGGACTACTGTGAGTCCTATTCATGATATTCCTTATTACCTGGAGTGCTTGTTTAGGAGCTGGAGACCCAGACATGAGCCTTGTTCTTGTTGTACTTGGAGATTTCTCAGAGGCTCTGGGTGGAGCAAAAAGAGCCAAAGAGAGTGATTTGGGGGAACACCCCCAAAATTTGACCCAGTTAATGAAAATGCAGAGTTTAGAGCGTCTGGGGCACTGAGCTACAGTATGCACAAACAGAAGAATAAAACAGTCACTGCCCCTAAGGAACTTATATTCTTCGGGGACATACAATATATACATAAATATGTAAATGGAAATTAATTTGAGAAAGGAGAGAATACTAGCAATTGAGCTGAACCTTGAAAAAGCTAGGGATTCTTATAGTGGTGAAGAGAAAGTACAGTCCAGGCATGGGGGACACTAAAAGTGTGGAGGCAGGAGACAGAATGCTGAGACTCATTTAGCTAGACTATAGATTATATATAGGGGAGTAATTTGAAATGAGTCTGGAAAGGTCAGTGGGAACCGGGTTATAGAAGGTTCTAAAAATGTTTTGTATTTTACTCTAGAGGTAATAGAGAGCTACTGAAAGTTTCTGAGCAGAGGAGAAGCTGCTCAAATTGTCTTCAGGAACTTATTTAGGCAGTTTGGGGAGGGTGGGTTGTATAGGGGAGAGACTGGAATCAGGGAGGCCAGTTAGGAGGCTATTAAAAGAGTCCAAGGGGGAGGCAGTGAGGGCCTGAACTAGATTGGGAGCCCTGGGACTGGAGAGAAGGGGGCGATTAGAGGGATGTTGTAGAGGCAGAATTGATGACCTCGCAATTAAGCAATATGGGTATGAGGGAAAGAGTCAAGGAGGGCTACAAGGCTGCAAACTGGGTGATTGAAATAATTGTTATGCTTATAATAGAAATAGGGACATTTGGCAACGGGAAAGTTTGGGTAGGTGGGGGAACTGAGTTCTATTTGGACAATGGGATATTGAGGTAAAGATGTCCAGCAGGTTGTTGTTGGCTTTGACAGTCATTTTCTTTCTTTTTTAATGTATGTCTGTGTATATGTATGTATGTATGTGTGTGTGTGTGTGTGTATATGTGTATATATATATATATATATATACACATAATCCCAATTTTATTATTTGCTTTTAGCATTCTTTTTTTTTTGAGGAAATTGGGGTTAAGTGACTTGCCCAGGGTCACGTATTCTATATTCCATGTGACAAGCCTAATCCTTCTTTTTGTCTCTAAGTAAAATAGCTCACAAGTTCAGAACCTCAGTCTCCCTCCCTGAGGCTGGATGTATAAGCGATAATTCTCCCATAAACTGCTAATTAAAGAGAATTTCTCAAGGGAAATAT